TATATATATATATTCCTATGTGTGTGTTTCACAAAGCCGCTCAGAATTCGTCATCCCAGTGGCCGGGCAGAGGGTGCCGGCACCGAGGGAGCGGCTCCCCGAAGCTGGCGGGCAATGGCAACGAAGAGGCACAGCAAGGCCGTGACCTCAGGGTTTTTAGGCTTTTAGGATTTAGGGCTTTAGGGTTTTAGGGTTTAGGGCTTTGGGGGTTTAGGGTTTTAAGGTTTAGGGTTTTTGGGATTTTGGGTTTAGAGTCGTCAAGGGGAGCAAGAAGCCGAAAGCAAGCAGCAAAATCTCTGGCCGAGTACTTGGTCAGCCCTTTTCCGACAGTGTGGGAGATGTAAGACTGGAACAAAGTGGGCCTGAACCTCCTGGACCATGTCTTCGAAGGGCGGCACGTGAACAAAGAGGACGGGAGTTCCATGTGGTGCCAGATGCAAAGACTGAAAGAATATATAGTTGCAGACATACCGGCCTGCATCCGTCGAAATCTCGCAGTTCACGCCCCTGTCATGCATCTCTGCAAGTATTTCTGGAAGTCGCAAGGAGCAATAGAGCACAGGAGGTGAGTCGTCGACGACAGGCTCTCCACAGCACTGCCAGCCCAAAACGTCAGGAATCCGAAAATTCGCCTCATTAACACCACGGCATTCAAGGCTGATGTGTTTGCGATCACCCGCAACACCCAAGTGCACCACAGCAGTCTCTGTCTTTGGGGAGGCCTCCTTCTTTTCGCGAAGATACCTGTGAATTTCAGGCACTTCCGTCTGACAGGTCTGAGCGGCCACATCAAGAGCCCGCAGGCCTAGGAGGGAAATATCAGAAGCTTCGAAGTCTCGCAAGACGTCAGCCGGGACAATTTCTGGGGGGATGCCTTCCTGCACGTACTTTTGCAATGTCTCACAGAGCACGGATGAAGGATTGTCTTCCACCCCCATGAACGGCCCAAAGCCAGTGATGTAAATGGAGACATGGCTGGTATCCATTCGTTAAGGCGAAGACACGAAGCCCCCAAAAAGATATCCGAAGCGACCTGCCTGCCCGTACTGTTTGAGCTTGTGCAAAGCTGAAGTGCATGAAGCTCATCACACGCACACCCACACACACACACACACCTCTCTCTCTCTCCCCTTCTCCCTCTCCCTCTCTAAAAACCTCAGTAGGTTTGGACAAGTCCAAGGCATGCAAGCGCGAAGGTATACGGTAACTGATAGGGTTCAGGGCTTACAGAGTTCAAGGTGATTGGCAGATGATTACAGCATCTGCCCAACCGACATTCGGCAATCGGTCAGTGCTGTTGGAGCAGTGGAGTCTGTTGAAACTCTACGTGGAAAGCAGCGCTTTGTTCGGATGCTTCTTGTGTTACGAGTGGTCTGCTCAGCTGCCCGTTTGCGAAGCAAGTTTCGCTGATTCGTCGCATCTTCACGTTGTCTAAAATGTCGCAAGAAGATAGCTTAGGCATCAACTTACATATTGGCTACAGAATACAGAGAACACGGAGCTTGAAGAGACTGCACTGCCTGGTATGTCACGAGCAGCAGGATTCCCAGACACGTGCCACCAATATTTGGAAGGGAAGAGAGGAAGCAATGTAACCTCAAGGGAATCTTTCCGAAAGGCGGTGCCAAGCGCACAAATATCACCCGCGCTTCTGGACTTTGAAGTAGCCAGTCCCCAGGCCTGCGTCTGAGGCCTCTGGCTGCCTAAAGAGTAAAGGAATGTGAGGAACAAGCTCTGGCACCTACATCCACTAAACGATGACCTGCACTTCCTGGCAAGGTGAGAAGGCAGCAAACTGATGGATCTGAGGCAATCGCGTAGCATTCTCAATTCGCAGTCGAAGCTGGATCCGTTCGGACACTTGGGTGGCTGAAAGGAGGTGGATCCGCTTCCTCCCGATAGCACTACCTTTGACCAAAGGTTGCCAGCCGCTTCCCTGACTTTGCTCCAAGGTGTAGTTTCTGACCCTCTGTCCCAGAACCTTGCTGCTCGGAGAAGTAAAAGTTAATCGTTCGAGTTGTGTAGAGATTCTGCGACCGCAAAGTTGGGGGTTTAGGGGTTATAGGGTTGTAGGGTTATAGGGAGTTATGGGTTAGGGTTTCGGGGTTAGGGTTCAGCATTCTTGAAGAACTGCTAAGGAACGATGTCTTCCTGAAGTTGAATCCGATCGAACTGTGAGCCTGCCTCGAGGGTCAATGTCAAAGCCATACCCGGGCCAGATGTGGCAGCCAAGGGCGAGCCGTAACAGTTTCGCACCCACTCTCCCAGTTGGCCATAGACGGCTGCATGACTCTTCTGCACCAAGCCTTACGATCTCCAGTAACCTAGGAATAAAAAGGGCTCCCTTCTGGGTATTGGGCATAGTGTTCCAAAGAGCCTAAGACCGGAAAAAGGTAAGCAGCCGTCACGATCAATTGAGAAGGCCAGTTCCATGACCATCCCTCTTCCGACGATGTCGTGGTAGATGGGGATCATCTCAGAAAGGCTCCTCACGTGCAGATTGGGCTCCCAAAACCATACGTGCTCTTCGAAGAGTTGTGGATCACAGAACTTCGGCACCCATTCGTCAGCATCTGCCTGGCCGAAATAGCCATGACCTGTGCTCCACACATCCGAAGAACCCACATCTCGGGAAGGATGTCCAGATTCTGTGCCACACCAATCGATGGGATTCTTGGGTGTTCCTGCTGCCTGAGGCTGTAGCTCATCCATCAAACTTCCCAAGCCACCGAGCCCACTGTCAACCCAGATTCGGGAGAGGTTCCCATATTTCGTCCAAAGCTCAGTGACCTGCTGCCGGGCAATACGGATGTAGTCTTGCTCTGAGACATTCCTCTGCCGAGGAAGCACTTCCTCCATGCAGGAATTCTTGCCAGAAAAGTTATGGCAAAGGTAGAAGTTCTTCATGATTGAATAATAAAAGCCATAACCAACACCGGCACTTTTCGCCGAATCTACAAACCTCTGCAACACATCATACTGGATGGCTGCACCTGGCATGCCCACATTATAGCCATAGGGGCTGCCGTCGGGAAGAGTGGCTTCCGTAGGCCACAATGCAAAGCCGCATCCGTGCTTTGCAGTGAGCACCGCAATGTTTGCTCCGAGGGCCGCTATGCTCTCCATCCACTGCGTGGTGTTCAACTGCTTGGGGTTGAAGGTCTCTGCGTCGCTGGTCTTGCCGGCAGCATAGGGTGCTAGTACATCCCAGTTGGTCTTGTCACAACACGGATCTCCATTGTGAGCAAAGGTGCCCATGTTGAAGTGGATCAGTGCCACGAAATCCGTAGACTGATAGCGAAGCTGAGCGGGCGATGGGACAGGCAAGGCCGCAACAGCCTGGGAAAGGAACAGAAGGATCCATGGCCGGACGACCATCTGCAACAGAGGACAGGTCACTGGTCAGGTCAGGGGTCGAAGCACCAGTGAAGCAAGCAAGCCAAAACTGCAGAAGTTATAATATAATGTAATGGAACATAGTATAATATAGCATAGTCATATATATATATATATATATATATGTAGAGACATAGATTAGTGGTGAGAACTTTGAAGTGCAGACTTTCTAACCTCCCGGGACCTTTCACCTTGAAGCTCCGAGCTCGATAATATAGGGGCCTTAAGGAGAGAATATGGATTTTGGGCCGTGATTACACGAAAATATTTTTTACTACAATGAATGAGATCTGTACGGAAGAATATTGGTAACTATTCCGGAACATACCTGAGGGAGTGCCTGCTCGAAAAGCCAGACTCGAAAAACTGCCAAAGAAGCGCTGCTCATGCGTGGGCGAGGGGAGAGGCCGGGGGGGGGGGGGGGGGGGGNNGGTCTCCATGTCTGTAGGACACGGCGGCCACTGGCATCAGTGGTCACAGAGGCAATGATACGCTAATATACTCAGCAATTCGGGTGATTGGGCATTGTGGTGTCAAAGACTCGTAGTCACAATCGTCACAGCGAGCCCTGTCATTGCTGTACTCCTTCAGTTTTTCTATGAGCTTGCTCACGGGATCGTGTAATTCTTTTCAGAACGGGAATGCGTTGGAGCTTCAACCTCTGTTGCTTGACACTTTTTTGCCGCCTCACGCAGCCGGTATGTCGGACATCCCGCAACCCCAAAGCCCCATGCCGAACTCATATAGAACTTGGGGTTTAGGGCTTCGGGCTGAAGAGGATCATCGTGCCATGACCTTGTAGTTGGGGATGCCGCCGACAGTCTCGATTGAGCACAGTGTGCTACAGCGAGGAACGGGATAGAAATGATCGTGATGGTGATGATGACCCTGACGAGAATGAGAATGAATAAGGGCACTGTGACGATGGTGGCTACAAAAGTCATGGAGTTCATGACTCTGATGCTCGTGGTGGCTGAGGTGAGGTGGTGAAGAGCATAGAGACGGTGAAGCTGCTGATACTGTTGATGATATACATCCTGCATGACCTTAAGGCCTAAACTATGGGAACTATGGCATACTCCTTGTTATGGGTACTGAAGGATTTATATCATCAACCGTATGGGTGGAATTTCGAACAGAACCCAAACCGTAAACATCCATAAACCCTACTTCCTCAAACAATAGCCCGAGCCTAATCCCAAAGTCCAATTCCAAAACCCTGAGCACCAAACCCCGGAAACGAAACCTCAGATCTATGAAAATCCTTCCTCCCAGCAGGGGCTCAGGAAACTGCTACGTCGTCGGTCTTTGTACAGCTTGCTGCGGTCTGAAGCTTCACTTCGATATCGGAATTGGGCTTACGGTTTAGGGTTTAACTTCAGCTTCCGTTGCGCGAGATACGGAAAAAGCAAAGGGCCCGATTCTTATAAGGGAGGCTAGACGAGGTATTCCAAGCTTTTGAGAAACCCATATTCCTGAATATGGTACTGTTCGGTAACGGTTATGCTTGTTGTCAATAGTCGAGGCAACGCATAGGTGGTGGTGGTGGTGGTGGTGGTGGTGGTCGTAGTAGCAGCAGGAGCAGGAGCAAGAATGGGCAGTAGCAGTAGCAGGAGCATAGTCCGCAAGTGGCCCTTTTCAGCTGCCATCTCGGTATGTGGCGGGATTGGAATGAGCTTGAACCCTGAATCCGAAACGTGGGTGCAGCAGCAGCAGTCGTAGACGCAGTGGTAGCAGTAGCAGCTGCAGTATAGCAAGAGCAGTGCTAGTAGTGCTAGTGCCACGAGTGGTGCTAGTAGTACGAGTAATACCAGTAGTCCTATAGTTAGCGGTAGTCGTTGTCGTAGTAGTCGTAGT